GATCGTCCCCTATGACCTTACTTGAGTCGGGCATATGCAAAGGGTTGGCTTCCTCGATTGCCTCCCCAGAATAAGTTGGCAACGAAAGGGAATGACCTGTTGTCGCGGCCCCGAACTCTTCACTCGGGGCGTTCTCATTAGGCTCGGGGGCCTCAGCATTTACCCCCTCTGGTATAGTTGTTGAAGACATAAGGACAATATCAACCTCCAAGGACATAGGGGCCTTGCCCGTCTCTTCTCTTCGGGCATCCTCACCACAAGGTGGATTTTCTAGTTCGGAAGGCTTGGCGGCCTCGACTGGCTTCCCAGTCCGAGTCACCAGCGCCGATTCTTCCTCATCATCTTCCTCACCATCCGGGGAGTCATGGGTTGAGTCTGCGCCCGTTTGAGCAAACCTTTTCCGCAGCCTTCGAGTGGAGGTTTTCTTGTCTTGGGGGTCTTCGGGCTTCGAGACCCTCTTTCTTTTATTATCCTTCTCGGGCTTTGCATTTGAAGGCTTGGTAGTTTCCCTGGGCGGGGCCGGCCACATCTCGGACGCATCTCCAAGGCCGTGGTTCTTGGCCTCCCATTGGTCCTTCGCCAATTCACGCCACTTACGCTTGTCATAAGATTATGTAGCAGCTAGTTTCCTGACCCAAGCCTCGAGGTCGGGCACCGCCAAGGGCGCCCAAGCATCGGTTGCTAAAAGAAAGATGGGTAAGCCATGAAAAATGAAAGAACATGAATAGATACAAAGGAAAATGTGGACTCTACTTATGGTTAAAATTTCACCTCTCCGAGAACGACATTTTTTCCTCGGGGATGATGTTCGAAGTCCTAACTCTAAAAAATCGGCTCATCCAACCTCGATCTTTGGTTTCATCGGTACTGGCGAAGAAGGACTTCATGGTTCGACGTTGTAGCTTGATGAGGCCTCGAAATAGCTGGGGCCGATACAACCGAACAAGGTGGCTGAGGGTGAATTCTAAACCCTCGGCCTTCTCAGAAAAGTACCGCAACATGATCACGATACGCCAGAACGAAGGGTGGATTTGGTCGAGGGTGACTTCGTATGTCTTGCAGAAGTCGATCACCACCGGATCGAGGGGGCCCAGTGTGAAGGGGTAAGTGTAAACACTCAAAAACCCCTCCTTGTGGGTAGTTCTGCTCTCATCAGGCCTCGGGATCTGAATCTTAACCTGGTCCCCCATTAACAATCCCTCCTTACATCCTTGATGAGTTGCTTGGTTATCAGGCTAATATATCGTGACACGTGCTCGCATCGGCCTTCAACATCTGGAGGATTCTCGATACTGAAGTCCTTCTTGATGATGCAATCACCAGGGGTGATCTCTTCAAGTGTCGGCGGCACCACCGGTTTGACCGGCCGGAAGGCTGAGGAAGATGACGCTTTATCTTTTTTAGGGACCGTCTTGGAAGTTTTGGCCATGGTTGTAAGGTAAGGAATGCGAATGAACAAGGATGTCGCATTTCCGGCTAGAGCTTGGTATTTTACGGCGTTTAAAGAGGCCGAGGAAACAGGTAATTGAAGAAAGAGATGAGGATTGGAAGAGATTGAAAAAAGGTAGAGTTATTTGCTAAAGGAAGACGCCCCATATTTATAGAGGGGCAGCGACGGTTCGAAGGCGTTAATGGCTGACCGACACTGGCGTGCATTTAATGTTTTTGGGGAAATGGGCCGATGGGACGTTTCGGTCACTTCGAATGATGGCTTCACAAGGATGACGTCACCACTAGAGGTTCGAGAAAATCGAGGTCAAAATCATTTCATATCATTCCATTCTAAGAAACGCGGGGGCTATCTGTATGCGGTCAAACTCGAGGAGCATGATTTTCGAAGTCTTAAATCGGGCTATAGGCTCGGTCCCGGGAGACTCGAAGTGGGGGTTCAGATACGGCTAAGGGACACCTACCTCGAGGAAGCTGATCAAAGGCCTGGCACGGCCTGCATCGAGGACAGCATAATCTCGAAGTCAATCAAGAAAGAGCAGGAATTTCTCAAGGACACGTGGACCTGGGCATTAATTATAGGATAAGGATTGTACGAAATGGTACAGGTCCGTACTAGGCCGTTATACACCTGTACCAATAGAATTATTTACCTTTATGAGCAAGGTACTATATTGGGGTTTTCTCCTCATATATAAAGGGGACCCCAATCATTTTGTAAAGGCATCAGATCATTTTACAGCAATAGAGCATTCTTATTCTTCTCTTGTTTAACGTGCTCAGTGATTACTCTTCAGTTTTGTTGCCTTTACTTTATTGTTCATACTTTATTGGTCTTAGCTGACCTCGAGGTCCCTGGATAGACAAGCTCGAGGCCCTTACTGATTCAACAACATTGATTTGGTTTATTATTTCTTACATAAGCTCAATATCACTTGTATAATCACTCGTATTAGAATATATCACGTATCTTTAAAACCACTAGATATCTTTAATTGTTACTCACATTTTTCGAGGTAAACACCTGCATTTCTGCAAGAGGCTATTTCCACGGCTCGAACCCCTGACCGGGTCACATGGCAGCAACTTTGCCAGTTACGCCAATGCTCCCCTTCTCAAGAGTAATAACATTGTGTATTTTAAACTGACATCTTAGGTCCATTTAATATGGTTTAAATCTTAAATATCATTTCATCCTTCTTCTTTTTTCCGATAAAGAATGGTGTTTCAAGCTCTGGAATATCATTTCATTCTTTCAATAGCAAAACAGCTACATTGCTTTTGAAATGCTTCATTAAGTTCAGAGAATTGCCATGGGTATCAATTTGAATCCAAAAAAATGCACTTGCAACTGATGTATACTTCCAATTCAAGAGTAAAATGCACAATAATGGGTTCACATACCTCGAACTAAACATATAATGCTAATAAGTGTGCATGGTAAGTGACTTACTAAATTCAAAAAAAAATGAAACAGTAATTTTACCATGGGGTTCATTAGTAAACAATACAAAAATTTATCCTAAAGTTTGAATCATAAGGGAGTTAAACAAAATTCCTTTTCAATTCAAAATCCAAAGCCTAACATTATTTTTCCAATGTCCAAATTTACTGCTCAAATTACTCTAAACTCCTCCTCATACAAACATAATCACCACAAGAAGAAGTGTTAATCATCCAATGGAAGAAAATAAAGATGAAAGTAACTTTCTCGAGAAGAAGTATCATCAACATACTATTTTAATATAATTTCCATGGATACTGCTGCAGAAATTGCACAGGTCTAATACTTTCCATAATCCTATCCACTCCCAGATACACTATATTTAAAGAAAGGAGAGGTATGGAAATTAATACTACTATCTTTTGAATAACACAGTAACCATTTTCTTGGGCAAATTCTTTTGCAGTGGAAGTTAAAGCATGTTAGTAAGCTTTAATTAACCAAGTAATAAGTTTAACACAAACTTCAAACTAAAAGCGTGTCCCAGAATTCTTTGATTAAAAAATATTACTTTCATTAAGCACACTTGTATGAGTAATTTCTTCTTAAGGGGTTAACGATATCTATTTGATTGTTTTGCTAGGAGCTGATAAATGCTGAGCTGATGTAGTTCTTGACAGTAAGCCAATCCATTGGTCTTTTAGGCTGCAGAATCAGCTCTCAAACTGATACTAAGGCCTCATTTGTTTGCACTTAATGGAGGTCTGAATCTTAATCATTCAGATTTCAAACATTAAGTGCATTTGTTTTAAAGTCTGAATCTTAATTATTCAGCTCTTAATCATTAAGTGTGTTTGTTTTTTTTACTTCACAACCACTTAATAGGTCTGAATAGGTCTGTATGATTAAGATTTATAACAGAGACTTAATTTCATTAAGATGCTATCACATATTCATTATTAACTGCCGCCACTGCCTACCATTATCACCTACCACCATGCCACCACCATAGTCAACCACCACCACCACCATCATCCTCAATCATAGTCACCACCATTATCGACCATCACCATCCATCATCCCCACCACTCCGACCACCATCATTCTCACTCACAGTCAACACTTATCCACCTCAACTACCACAACCAACCACTCCATCACTATTAACAACCACAGCCGGCATCGCCCATCATTATAACCTACCACGACCTTCCTCAATCACAAATCACCACCCGCCATTGTTAACTATCACCACCCACCACCACCATCCTCAATCATAATCACCACCACTACCAATCACTACTAGCTACTAGCATGAACCACCATCATCAACCAAAACTACCACCAACCACCGCCTCTAGTCGGCATTCACCTGTTAGTCATCACCACCAACAACTGTCATATTTTAAAAATATATATATTTTATTGATAGAATATTAGATTAGTTAGTATTTCATTTGAATTTTATGTTTATTATTTTTCAAATAAAGATAATTTTTATGCATTCAGATGTTAAAAATCAAACAGTCTTAATTTTAGTATTTAGATCTTAATACACATCTTAATATTCAGATGTGTATTCAGATTCGAATGTTTAATCTTAATACACATCTTGATATTCAGATATGTATTCAGATTCAGACGTCTTAATCTTAAAAAAAACAAATGAGGCCTAAATACATTATCAACCATATTCACCTTTGAAAGAAAACTACTCTTGTAATTAGACAATTACAACTTAACTCCATCAGAATGAAATTGGGGGAAAGGTAAGGGCTTGAAGCCTCCTACAGCATACGCAAAGCTTAAAGTTGAAGGGGTACTCAAAAATCCAAGAAAGACATCAATAAACTCAGAAAATCCGCAGAAAAAAAAATTATTGATCTTATTTAAAAGGAAAAATACACATGATTGACTCAATATTAGAATAAAAGCAAAAAGAGAAAGACAAAGTCATCAATCAACTGCACCTCAATTACAAATTAATTCGAATCAGTTGTATCTAATTCTTTTTTAAACTGTTTTTTTCTATTTGAGTTCATTTCTTTTCAATACTAGAAAAAGAAAAGAATGAAAGGAGAAAATCTATAATAAGAAAGAAACGTACAAACTTAGGAGCGTGAAGAGCAAATTTGGTGAGACGTGGACAGTTTGCAGCAGTTTGTATGCTTCGAAAAGTCGTTTGTACAACATACATCTTCTCTGCTTCTCCTCGTCTACAGGGAGTCTCTTGGGGGGACTATGTACGTTTGATATTATTGGGCCGGGTACCCGATTAAGTGGTTTATAGCTGAAAAGTAGCTCCGTGAGTGAATATGGGCTGTATATTGGATCCGAGCCTTCAGATCCAGCACTTGACTGTGCTGCTTGGTTCTAGCAATGTATGGGGAAAGTGCACAAACAGCCATTTTTAAGGCTGCTATTTAGGAATTAGCCAGCCATAATAAACCTTTGTGCACTTTCCCCATAGTGGCTATCTGGTGTCATTTCTACCACCCTTTAAGCTTCTTTACTTTTTAGCACATTTTTTTTTCTTATTTAACACCTACAACATTTGACCAACATCTTTTATTTTTTCTAAAAACATTTTATGATTTTATGAAGTATCAGTTTGTATTTTGTATAGTATAATATAAAGAGGTAAAGTACTACTTTATATTATTTGAAATTTTAAAAAACTTAAAGGTAAGTAATTCAATAGGTTCAAGCAATAATAAGTGCTTCACTGTCAGTTGATTATCAGACTTCTAACTCATTGTGATCATCTAAAATCTAATCAAGCAGACATTAGACAACAGGGACTAATCATGGCTTCTTTAGGAACAATTGTCAAGAACTATAAAGCATAGACAGACAGAAAAGAGAAACAGATATTCTGCTTCAAATGCTGTGTTGTTGACGCGAAATGATTAAGCGGCCACAATGACTTTCCAGTAGGGATGTTAAACTCAGTGCTTTATAAAATTGTTGGTCTCTGTAATATTTCAGCTGTGTCTTCTGCATACACATTTATAGCTTGGACTTGCTCACTCGGAGTTTGTCAATTAAAAAACATGCATAAGAATTCAAGCAGGCAAGGAGGTCCAATACGTTGTTTGAACTATCAAGAATACATCATTCTACAAGTTTGGTTAGTTTTCACTATTGCTTTAGTGACCTCACATTATCTAAGTTTATGTTCTTCAGTCTCTAATATGAATGTTGTTAATGGCTCTTGATGCCATGGCCCTCAAATTCGATCTGGCCAGAGCAAGAGAATTCCTATACTGCAATCGCAATGCTAATGCAGCATCCTGATCTTGGCTTGGTGGTCTCCTTGCCCTTAGACTAGTCTCTCCACCTCCGTTTGATGTCCCAGATGGCCTGACACTATGTATTTTCATAATGTGAGAATTCCTTCTTTGTGGATCTCGAGAGCCAGATTCTGGACTATGTAAAGCTAGGACCCTGTCTATTCTGCTTCTTGAAATATTAGAATGACTAGCAATTCTTGCTGGACTTTGATGCTGAGCTTCTCTACTATCTGAAGCTCCAGCTGCCTTTCTTGCTTCAACATCTTTAGGAAATAGTAGTTGAATTGTATTCCAAAGGACTGCATTGACAGTGCAAGATTTCCCATTGCTGCAATATCAAGTCAGGATGATCACACAATTCTGCAAGTGTTGATATTTTGCAAACCTCGGATAAATAAATAAAAGTTCATCTCTCTGAAAACACGTAATCTTTTAGATGTGGCAATTCACATAAATCGACAGGAAGTAAAAGCCTAATCATTTTTTTCTTCCTCAATAATATCTACCCTCCAGCTTAGTACAAGTGTTCAGGAATGCTAATAAATAGGAGTAGTACCTGATAAGATGTCTGCACTTAGGGCATTTCTTCCCGTATTTATCAGCAGCAGATCGCAAACACTTTCTACAGAAACTGTAGACATAATAGGACCAAATAAGTTAGAACCTATTATGGAAATTTTTACCAAGTATTGTTGTATGAATCTGAGTTGATGTGGATGTCAATTGATTGTACCTGTGTCCACAAGGAGTGGTACTGGGCTCAAAACAAATCTCCAAACAAATCTGCAAATATAAATAAAATAACTCAAACTTGAAATCAACATTTCAAGAGTGGACTCTTGACTCTTACGGCACAAGAAAGCTCTTCACGAAGTCGATCCACGCAGAGATTGGCTGAAGCAGAAGAGGATACACAAGAATTCTGTTTTGCTGATGCTTCAGCTTCTTTCTTATCTCCTCCTCCTGTGGATTTTGGTTCTGTCTTCTTTTTCTCAGTTTCTGCTCAACATCGAAATGAAAATTATTTTACTACTTGTAACATGTTGAAATTAAGGTTTACTCATAGGATTTGGCTCTGGATTCCTTTTCTCAGTTTCTGCTAAACTTTGAAATATTTTTTTTTTTAACTTTTTGTCACATGTCGAGATTAAGTGCTCATTGCTTATGTAGTTATGTTGTCACACTTGCATTACGTATGGTGATTGGCAGAAAGTCCCTTTAGTTTGTCATCTTTAATATCAACAGAAAATGGAGAGAAACTCTAGTATTAAAGAACCCTAAATTTTGTCTCGAATTATTGAGGATCGGAATGAAACAGTTCCTAATTGAACAAAATAAACATTAAGAATTCACAAAAAGGACACCAACTAATTTGGGATCAAAGAATTCGGATTGGATGGGAATGGAGAAATCTCTCAATGTGAGCACTTCCTCCTAGGGCCTTACCGGGCACGAATCTAAATTAGTCAGGCTGGTGCACTCCGGATATCAAATGGTTAAACCATATTAAAAAAAGATCGGACTTGAAAATATATAAACAAAACCTTGTTTTGAAGTGTCATCATCATCATCAAGATCAAGAACAGTAACGCGCACGGAAGCAGGGCTCTTCTTCTGAGCCCTTCGTTTCCTGGAAATATCACAAAACTTTGAGCATTTCCAATCACCCAAATAAAACTTAACCAAGAATGTAATCAGTCGATGTTAAGTACTATTACATTGTAATTAATTACCTTCTGGAATTAGAAGGCGGCGTCACGAAACGCTACACACCAGGAAGTTTCTTTTGTTTACGTTGGGATTCAGGAGTGTCTTGCGCAATAAGAGTAGCCATCAAAAGCGCTTCTTCGTCCCAACCCGCCATTGCAGCCACTGATCTGAATCTTGGGCTGAACAACGCCTCACGTTTTTCTCCATTTTCGGCTTTTGAGTTATTGGGGGTTCTCTTCAGCTCTTCATTCACCATTCTGTATTGCGATTCCCTGTTTCTTGGATGAAAGGAAATGTTGCTTGAGAGAAAATGGATGCAGGTTTTTTTGGCATTAACCGTCAAATATTTCGAATATCACATGGGCTTCTTTCTGGACCTAACGGCTATATTTTTTTCTCCACATTTTCTTCTTATGTTTTAGATTAACTCTAGTTTTAGTCCATTTATTGCAGTATTTAATACATTTGACCTTAGATTCTATGAAACTAATGAGTTTAGTCCTCCAATAACCTCCCTATCGAATTCGTAAGCCAGCCAAACTAGAGTTTTCCAAGGCTTGAGTAATTATGTCTAGCCATGAACTCCATTTTTATGTTCAATTTTGGAATGGAAGATTTAAATAATTGTATACGGCCAAAATCATATGCCTCCGACCTATAGGCTCGAGGGTCCGTCCTAGGCCCGAGTCCGGGCAAGGCCGAGTTCGAGCCCGATGGACCAGACTCGAGCTCGAAGACAAAATGCAATACCCAGAGATAGGAGTACGAGGAATACCGAAGCAGAGTATGCTCGAGCCCGAAATTGTACCGTTGTGGATTTGTAACAGAATAAGCTAGATTCCTGCCATATTCCCAAGATTATGGCGCAAATCCCGAAATAGGATTATATGATTCCGTACTAGGCGGTTAGACAGCTGTATCAGGGATATTCCTTACTGTAAATAGAAAAATACCTTATTTAGGGTTCCCCTATTATATAAAGGGGACCTCAATCATTTTGTAACATTATCTCATCATTGGCAAGAATATATCATCCCACTTTTCTCTTACTGTTCATAAGAATTCTTCTTTACATTTATTCTTTTTACTTTATTGCTCTTAATCCATCTCGAGGTCACTAAGCTCGAGGTCACTACTACTGAGTAACATTGGTTTGATTCACTTGTTTCTTTCATTTCTACTTCATATTTCTTGATTATTAATCGGTATTGAACTAAATCACATATCTTTAAAACCACTAATCAAATTTAATTGTTACTCGTATTATCAGTTGAAACAGTTTGGCGCCAACCGTGGGGCTAAAGATAATAGTGATTATTTCTTTACTGATTCTCATTACACACGTTGTTTTTACACTTTTTCTTGTCAAGATTTTTTGATTCTCAAGCTGAAACATGTCTAGCTCACAAAATGCACCTGTTCACAACAACGAAGGTCTTGGAGAAAACAACAATGCAGGGGTCGGTGTACCACCGATAAACCTAGGGGAAGTGCCAAATATGGAACCAGTTGATGTTAGTTCGCATATTACTTTGAATGCAGATCTAGGCGTGGACCCCGGAAGGAATACACGTAGGGAAGCCCGATCAGGGGGCCAAGGAGCACCAAGAATAGGAGACAGGAGAATCAGCCTCCAAGTAATATTCGAGATGCTACAAGTTCAACAGATTGCCATCGCTCAACTTCAAAGTCAGAATAAAACTCCGAGTGTGGTCGAACTAGGGAACACTCGATGTACTGAGCCAGTGCCGGAGGGATCAAACGGTAATGGCTCGGGGACTGACCCCACAATTATGAGGATGCTCGAGGAACTCACCAAGAGAATCAAGTCCGGGGAGAAGAAAATTGAGGATAATGACAAAAAAATGGAGACTTATAACTCCCGTGTTGATTAAATACCGGGGGCACCCCCGATCTTAGAAGGACTAGATTCTAAAAAGTTCGTGCAAAGACCTTTCCCCCTAGTGCAGCTCCGAAGCTAATTCCCAAGAAGTTCCATATTCCCGAGATTCCCAAGTATAACGGGACGACCGATCCGAATGAACACGTCACCTCGTATACGTGCGCCATCAAAGGAAACGACTTGGAAGATGACGAAATTGAATCTGTACTGCTGAAGAAGTTCGGGGAGACTCTGTCCAAGGGTGCCTTGATATGGTATTATAACTTACCCCTAATTATATTGATTCTTTTGCTATGCTTGAAGATTCTTTTGTAAAAGCACACGCCGGAGCCATTAAAATTGCAACGAGGAAGTCAAACCTTTTCAAAGTAAGGCAGAAAGAAAACAAGATGCTCAGAGAATTCGTATCTCGGTTCCAAGCAGAGAGAATGGATTTGCCTCCGGTCATCGATGACTGGGCCGTTAAAGCTTTCACTTAAGGTCTCAACACTCGGAGTTCTATAGCTTCACATCAGTTGAAGCAAAGTTTGCTCGAGTACCCGGCTGTCACTTGGGCCGACATACATAATTGGTACCAGTCGAAGATTAGAGTCGAAGATGATCAATTGGGGACTCCTTCGAGGTCCGTTTATCTTAGCAGGCCCATGGGTAGGATCAAAGGGGACGTCGATCGAGGGCCGAGGTTGAATAAAGATCGATATCAACCGTACAACGAAAACCATAGAGGAAACGGTTCTGGACGAAGCCCCGCACAAAATGAGAGGAGAAATAGTTGAGGTCAAAATTCATGAGGGCCTGATTGTAACGACCCGACTGGTCATTTTGAGTTTTTATACTTTGCTCGCCAGTTCTCGGGCATGACTAGCCCCGTATGATGTATTATAACTTATGTAAATCATTGGTTTTGGTTTGCAGGATAATCGGAATGGATTTGGAAGAACAGTTCTCAATTTGACGCTTAAAATTTGAAAGGTCTGACCAAGTTTTGACTTGTTAGTATATGATCTCGGATTGACTTTTTATGATTTGGTTAGCTCCGTTAGGTAATTTGGGACTTAGGAGCGTGATCGGAAGGTATTTTGGAGGTCCGTGGAAGGTTTAGGCTTAAATTGGGATTTTGGCATTTTCCGGTTGATAGGTGAGATTTTGATATAGGGGTCGGAATGGAATTTCGGAAGTTGGAGTAGGCCTGTTGTGTCATTTGTGACGTGTGTGCAAAATTTCAGGTCATTTGGACGAGGTTCGATAGACTTTTTGATCGAAAGCGAAATTTGGAAGTTTTTGGAATTTCTAGGCTTGAATTCGATGATGATTTGGTGTTTTGATGTTGTTTTGAGCGAGGTTGGAACAAGTTTGAATGGTGTTATGGGATATGTTGGCATTTTTGGTTGAGGTCCCGAGGACCTCGGGTGAGTTTCGGGTGGTTAACGGATCAAATTTTAGACTTTGGACTTGGCAGTTTTGCTGGTTTTTGTTACACACATTTTTGTTCATCACGTTTGCGGAGGTGCATCGCGTTTGCGAAGGGTATTTTGTGTGATGATGATTTTTGTTCCATGTGTTCGCGAGGGGAGATAAGAGACCTTAAAATGGGTATTTGAAGGGTCAATTGAACTCTGATTTCAGTGTTCTTGATATGTATAGACTCGTGGGAGGATAAGGATCATTTTGGAATAAATTTTATTGAGTTCCGAGATGTGGGCTCGAGGTCTGGGTTTAACCAATTTTGGGATTTTTAATGTAAATCGGATATTTTTGAGTGGGCTTTGTTCCTTTAGCATATTTTGATGGTATGAATTTGATTTTGGTTAGATTCGGAGTAATTGGAGAGTGATTCGAGAGGCAAAGGCTTCGCGGGCTAGAGTTTGGACCGGATCGAGGTGAGTAATGATTGTAAATGTTGTCCTGAGGGTATGAAACCCCAGATTTTACATCGTTATGTTATATTAAGGTGACGCACACGCTAGATGACGAGCGTGGGGCCATGCACCGCTGGGGTTTGTGACTTAGACCATCCCGAATGACTGTTTTACCGCATATTTGATTGAAAATTATTTGATATCATCATGTTTTGGGTTGAATGCCATATTTGGGCCTCGTGCCAACTATTTGGACCCTTAGGGGATTTTTACTACTATTTCCTTACTGTTTTGATTTTATATCTGTACTCAGTCATGCTATATTCTACTATTTTCATAACTCAACCACGTTTACTCTATTTTAACACTTTAAATGAAATTTTTGGCTGAGCATCATGTTTTACTGTGCCCGAGTGGCTTTTAGAGATTTCTGACTGAGTAAGGCCGAGGGCCTGTGTTGTGAGGATTATTATGGATTGGGTTGCACGCCACAGTAGTGTTGTACTAATTATGATTGTGAGCCTGAGGGCCTGAGTTGTACGCCACAAGGTGGCTTGATATGAGGCCGAGAGCCTATTGATTATGCCACAAGATGGCTTGATATTGCGCTTGCGCCGTAAGGGGCCCCTCTCGGAGTTTATACACCCCCAGTGAGCGCGGGTACCTAGTGTGAGTGATATTATACTGATTCATGATATGTGGAGGCCGAGGGCCTAATTTGATTATGCTATGAGATGGTTTGATATTGTGCTTGGGCCGTAAGGGGACCTTCCCGGAGTCTATACACCTAGTGAGTACTGGTACCTAGTGTGTTATGTGACATAGCCTGAGGGGCTGATGTTGTTCCATGTTATTGCCCGAGGGGCGATTCTTGATTTATGTTATGCCCGAGGGGCTGATTACGAGTGATTGTGAGAAGTCCGCGGGGCTGGTTTTGTTGATATTATGCCCGAGGGGCGGTTTATGGTACATGTTTTGCCGAAGGGCTGCTTATGTTTCTATCATGTTTACTCACTGTTTTATCACTCGTTTGAAACTATTGAAAATTATTTTTAAATCATTTTCACCGAAACAAAGCATGATTTACGAAGTAAATGATTTCTATATTGTGTTGGAAATATCTTGTATTTGTTGTAGCGTTTTGCGTGATTTACGTGCTTTCTTACTGCTCAGCTTTCATTTACCTTTATTACTCACTGAGTCGGAGTACTCACATTACTCCCTGCACCTTGAATGCAGATTCAAGTATTTCTAAACCCGGTAGCGGGTGTTGGTTGCTCAGAGGCAGAGTCATCGAAGTTTAGCAAGGTACGCCTGACGTTCGCAGCACTGCTTTCTCCCTCTTGATTTCATTAGACTGTATTTAGTACATTTTCAGACTTTTCGTTGTATTTAGACCTTAGTAGATGCTCGTGACTTGTGACACCCCGATGTCGGGCTGTATATATTTCCAAACTTGTTCTATTTCGCTTAAATTTTGGGATTTATTTCTTA